TTTTTTCTAATTATAAAAAAATTTATTGTACCAGCCTTTTGTTTTCTCGTTTGATTTTTTTATATTAAATTAATTTAAAATTAAGTTTAATTATTTATTTTGTTTGGCTTGGTATTAAGAAACAAATTTTATTCTCAATTGATGTTCAATTTAAAAAAATTAAATTAAATTAAAGTAATGAAAACTGAATTTAAACACGAGATAAATAATGAACTATTTTTCTTGCAAATATTAGTGACTGAATTACAAAATTGAAAGAGATTCAACCTTTTTTTCTTGGTCCCTTAATTTCTTGTTTTTAAATATACTTAATAATATTTTTTTTGGTTGCCTACATATGTATCCCGTGAGGTGAAAGAGAAATTCCAACATGTGTATAATGTTTGATTTTACAAAATAAAATTTTATTTTATTGATTTAAAATAATTAAAACTTAAAAAATCAAATTTGATACTAATTTAAACTGAAAAGAATAAATATGTCAACTTTGTTAAAGCATATAAAACACATACAAGAATATATGATGCAACCTAGCAGCATATGCCGCCTTTTTATCTGATAGTTGGTGGAACATTATTGTTTATGGTTGAGTTGGAAGTGATGAGATACTTTTTTTATTTTGTGGCTTGAGTCGGTAGCAAGTCTTTTATGATTTTTTTTTCCTTTTATCTTCTTGAAATTTGTATAGTCTATCAAAATTAAAAGATATCATATCATTTTGTTTTGTGTCAATTTCCCATTTCTCTTAATTGTTATCTTTGGTTTTGGATCAATCTTTGAATTTGTTTTTTTTTTAATTTTATTATTTACATTGAAATTGTTAGAAATTGATCTTCGTCTATTTTTTCAATCGGGTGATCATTTTCTCATAACTTGAATCATCAATTTTAAAAGTTAACTTGGGTTGATATTAGTTTTTTTAAGATTCTTTTTTTATATTGATTTTTTTTTTTGCATCTCATCTTTTTATAAGGTCACTATAGTCTTACGACTTAGCTAGTGAGTTTAATAAATTAACTCGAGTTTACTTAAAGTAATTTTTTTTAAAATTAATTTTTTTTGTTTTGTTCTTTACTATTAAATTGATTTAATAATTGAACTTTATGATTTTTCCTGTTTTTCTTTTTTATTAAATAGCCCTATTTGCATAATTCAGGGTCGCGGGTTTCAATAAACTTACCGACTTTGCTGGTGTTTTTATGTTATTATTTTAAATTAATTTTTTTAATTTCATACTTCCACATAAAGTTTTGGAAATTAAACATTATAATTTTTTTAATTAATTTAATTTTTATAAGATTACCTTGACTTTCTAACCCAATATACAAGTTCAACATATTAACTCAAGTTGACTAAAATATTTTTTTAATTTTTTAATTTCATTTTTAATTATTAGCTTAAGTAATGATTGAGCTTTATAATTATTTTTTTCAAGTCTTTTTTTAGCAAGTTGTTATGATCATTTTTTTAATTTGATTAATTTACCATTATTTTTTTATTATATAATTAAACGAACTAATTTATTGATTGGTTTCATCTATAATCCTATTCATGAATTTTTTTAACTTTTTTAAAACACATTTTTGACATTTGAATATTTCTTTTTACATAGAAACCAGCGAAATAATTCACCAATCTAATTTTAAGCTAAATGTCCACACATGAAATAATGTATTTATTAAAAAAATATTTTATTGCAATTCCCACTACCTTTCAATTCTGAATGATAACAGGAAAAAATTCACTAGTCAATTGAAGCCTCCAATAGATATATCTTATAGAAATTATTGAAGTAATTGCAGGGAAGGACTCCATGTTTTGATTTTGCAGGATAGGCCTTTTTAGCTTGCATAATCGGGCCCCAGTGCCCAGTAACTTATCTCCGTACCCACGACAACCAGCTCAATGGGCTTCTAAGTTCAGCCATGAGCTCTCTTGGGTGGCAGATTAGTGCATTGTAAAACACTCTGACATGCTTATAAATTATGAGTTTCATCCGTCGATTTAGCTTAGGTAAATTTCATTGAGAGCCTTTTTTAGATTTCAGGGTTTACAGTTTTTATGAATTTTTAGAGTTTTTCAAAGGTTTAATAGAGACCAAAAGAATGTTTCAAGGGATAGAAAATTTGAAATTTACACTTTTTTTGGCATGAATTTTTCTTAAAACCCTTTTTTTAGTAGATATTCTTAGCTTACGTTTAGTTACTGGACTTATGTAAGATCTTTGATTTATTACGTTGGTTGAAAAAAGAACAACTTATTGCTTGTATTAGAATAATGCTTAATTTTATGTTGTTTGCTCACTATCTTCACATAACATTAACATCAAACACGGTTGTGATCAATATTATCATTCAATTTCAGATGTTTGCTGCAATATTCTTGAGAAATGCACTTGCTTGTAGCCTTGTTCTTGTCATTAGAAAGCATCCCCAGCTCTTCTTGGAGTTCCTTCAGGATGGTACTGTGGGTGTGGTAGACTGCTAAAAAGAAGCTGCTCTGTGCAGTCTGCTGCTTTTTTCGTGTGTGTAAATGATCTTCGTAGTTGTGTTTAGTAGCGTGTACTTTTAGGATTTGGTAAAATTAGGAGAGCCTTGGACTGTGATGAACTAAAATGAGATGAAGTAATTGAACTTTGGGGGTAACCATTTATGTGATTTGAGCTATACTTTGATGACTTTCCTGTCAGTTATATAAGAAATTTGCAGGAAAAAAAAAACACCATGAGGCCAAGGATGATACACCCTCCCCTGACAGTGCACATGATCTTTTCCTTCATCGGTCTTCAAATTCAGTGACGGTAACTTGATTCCTGATTAATGAATGTGTCAAATAGCTGCAATTTCTTCTGTGGGTGATCGACTGATCATGGTATTATCATCTTATCCTATCCATCAGCAGATGCCTCCAAGCCTGTCATCTCGGTTTGTCTGAGAATGGCGATACAGGATTAGCTCTCCCCTTTTGAGAAAACTTCATTTGTATTTTGTGTTAAGACTTTCTTCTCTGTGCCCCATTATTTCAAGTGGCTCTGCGTTTGCC